AGAGAGAGAGAGAGAGAGAGAGAGAGAGAGAGAGAGAGAGAGAGAGAGAGAGAGAGAGAGAGCCTGAGGAGATGAGAGAATCTGCAGAGTGTTTGTCTGTCTTTTTTGTTTTTTTGTTTTTTTTCCCCCGCGGCGCATTCTCGACCTGATTGCTGAGTCGATTTCTCTACGCATTTATCAATCTGTCGTCTGCTATCACCGGACCTGTGTACTTTTTTACTTCGTTGTGAGTATCTCGGTCAGTCCGTTGCTCGGTCGCCTTCTGTCCGCCGTTCAAGTTAACGGTTGTAGTTTTGCTCGACTGTGTTCTCGGCCATCTATATATTTATATACATATACATATTTAAATATATTATATTATATTATATTATATTATACGTATATAGTATATCTTATTATATTATACGTATATAGTATATCTGTTTATTTATTTATATATATAAAAGGATTTGTAGTAGCGCGCCGCCGGAAAGCTTCCTTTTCGCTTGATGAAGGGGGGCGGTCTCGCTTGTTACTTCTCAATGTTCTCATCGATTCGTTACCGGCCGTGCAATTCATCATCATTCATTCATCGAATCTGGACCTATTCATGTCGTGCTGGCAGCGAGTCGCCTGCGGCGGGGTCTCATTAGCAAAGCGGAAAAAATATAATGCCATGAATCTGGACGTGCTTGTGGAGCGGTGCAGAAAATCGTTATTGATGTGCTATTGTTTTTTACATTTTCTGCAGCTTTTCAAAGAGTAACTTCCAGATTCAGCCAGAGTCGACACATCTGCCGTGCTATTGTTTTTTTTCTGCAGCTTAACTGATCCGGCGATCCGCCTCTTTGTTAGTTGCACCTCGCCGCTGATCGCGTTCTGATCGCATGTTTGGAAGGGGGATGCCAGCCAGAGTCGACACACTGCACCAAGGAGATTTCATATAATCTAATGAGTCAGACTTGTTAAAAAAAAAAAAAAAAAAAAAAAAAAACCTTACCAAGAAGCTGAGAGTCAAACTTGGCAGTGAGGATGGGATTGAGGAAGTCATAGCTTGGGGATCTGCCTGTCGTCTTCATCTTCCGCTCGATTAAGGTCTTACGGTGGCGGCGAGGATGGGGATGGGAATGGGGATGAGGAAGTCATAGCTTCGTCTCGCGGTTCACTGTTATCTTTTTTTTTTTTTTTTTTGTGTGTGTGTGTGTTCACTGTTATCTTGAGAAGACCACCTGTTTCGAGATTCGTATCACAAATTGGCAAATTGCGCTTTAAATTGTGCATGACGTTGCATGTTTGGTCATGTGTGTTTGTGTTCGCGAACGAGTCTAGCTCTTTGCATGTTTGGTTCTGCGCTGACTTGGCTTCTTCGTCTTCAAACTTGAACACAGACGAAGCCGAAGAAAGGACAAGATTGCAAGCACGTGTTTTATGTGCTATCTTTACGGGCTCGGTATACTACCTGCCGTTCTGCATGTCTGTGCTCTTTTCTGTCTTCACCCCTCGTCTCCACCTCCTGCACCATCTCTATCCAGCTATCGTCTCCAGAATTCGCGAATTGACATGGGTTGCCCCCCCTCTTCTAACTCTCTCGTGCCTGTCTGTCTCTTTCTCACCCTGTCCTTCTTGTCCCACGTTTTATCTTACGAATGCCGAGTTCATCTCTCTCTCTCTCTCTCTCTCTCTCTCTCTCT